GACTCAAATATTTTTTTCTTTCTTGTGTTTCTAACACATGTATAAGATGATTTCTTTGTTGCTTTGTATGTCCCTCTCCCATGATATATTCCCTGTTTTCACTGTGTTTAATGTTGGTATACTTTGTAGAGGTGAAGAAATTGTTTAAATAGGGATACAGGTGGACCCATTGCAACAATGAGATGTACAAGTCGTTATGTCGAAAAATGAACTTTTCAACTTTGGCTGGGGCAAAGATGGGAAGAGATTGGAAGGGTAAACAAAGGAGGAGGCAACAATCCTTGATACATACTTATTATCTTGCCCATGTAATTGTAACTCCTTTATACAGCATTTTCACAATAAAAAAAGAAAGTGAAAAGACATCCTGCATTCAGAGTTTGACTGAATTAAAATTGTGAAAGTGACTATATTCCCCAAAGCTACCATTCTTTTATTAATCCACTGAAAATTCCCGTGCATTTTGCAGCAATATAAAAATCAATACTAAGCCAAAACAACCAGTCGGAAAATCTGATAACCATAGTTGAGAGTAAGAAGATTCTTCTCTGAATCTGGGCTGAGAAAAAGGGTTGTGGGCTGTCTTACCTGGGTGGTGTGGGAGATGTCTGTGATCCCAACTCTGTCAGAGGTGAAGATTGAGGAAATGAGAGTTCCAGGGCAGTCCTATGTTGATGTTAGTTACAACAGCGGTGCATGCCTATAATCACAGCTGTGATGGAAGTGTAAAAAATTATTGAAGATAATTTGTGTGTATAACTATGAAGAGAAAACATCACAAAAATACACAGAGTGAACTGGGTATTGGTGACTCATGTCTGTAATGCTTGGTATTCACCAAGGTGAGATCTGAGCAATGCAGTTCAAAGCCAACCTGGACAAAAAAGACATTGAGCAGCTTATCTATAATTAAAAACCAAAAAAGCTGGAAATTGTGGGAATCCTGTAGTAAAATAGCTGGTCTCACACATGACTTAAAGCAGAAGGGCTGTGAAAAGGAGGGCTGGAATCAAAGTATGTTGTATTCAATCAGTAGTCCCCGAATGGATTTCACCAACCATCACAGTTGTTGCATCCTCTGAAATCCCAGATATGAACAAGCATCAGCACAAATCCTTAGCAGAAAAACAATGAACACATCTACAAAAAATGTTAATCAAATGGGAGTGAGAGGCCTCAGGTGGGCATGACATTGGGGCCAGCTACATCTCTAAGCTTTCCTTTTAGCTGTGGGTGGAACCACAGTTCAGCAGCTTCCAATGGGCAAGAGCAGAATAACAGTTAATTGATGGTTGATTTGGGTGAAGGAAAAGACACAGGCTTGGTAAGAACTATGTGAGACTGGAGGTCCTAGGGCTCAGACCCATAATGCTTTAATTGAATATTATATTGAGCTTCCATGCTGGAAAAGAGGGGCTTAATAGACTCAATTCTAGACTGACACTCTCAAGAAATGGACTGAGAACAGTATCAAAGAATCACAAATATACATTGACCCCTTTCAGCAAAGTAGTCAATAGTCAATACACCAGCCATCACCAGACTGAGAAGTGAAGGAACCCATCAAATTCCAAATAGTACCTAATACTACTAATACAATGTATCTTAAATATCAAGGAATAAATATAACCAAGGAAGTGAAAGAGATCTACAAAGAAAAACACTGGTTTTTCAAAAAAGTAGAAGACATAAGAAGAAAAAATATCTATTGTGTATAGTTTGGGAAAAGAACTATTGTGATGATATCTGCATCACTCAAAATTATATATATATATATTTATTCATCTACATCTATAACTATATCTATCAATCAATCTATCTATCTGTCCATATATATTTGAGGTCCAGAATCTTTCCAGGTGCCCTTCAATGGATAAAGGGACCAAGAATGTGTTCTACACACACAATAGGTTTTTGTCATTCATAAGAATATATGTTGTACCATTTGTAATGGGATGAAATAATCTGGAAATATGTATACTAGGTGACATAACTCAAGCCTAGAGAAACAAAAGATGAATGTTTTCTTTATGTGTGGAAGCTAGAATTAGTTTATAAAGCAAAAGCTTAGGTGATATGTAAGTGTATTCATATGTGTTAACTGAAATACATTAGATTCATGGGAGAATTCAAACAATGCAATTCCCTACAAAGTGAAAGTCAACTTTCTGCAAAATAAAACATCAGGAAACAGGTACTCCAAAGGTGTGGGATCAAATCAGGGTAAAGTGGTGGACAAATGAAGAATAGAAGAGGAGAATACTGTCACATTTCCAATATACGTCCTACAAAATGAAACGATGGAAGAAGTGGATAGGGAGGGATTAGTGAAATGTTGAAAGGGTGACATTGATCAAGTTATGTACAGTATTCGTAAACTGCTTTATTAAAAGGCAGCTCTATTATACATGACTTTAAGATAATTTAAATTTCAAAACGAAAACTAAAAAGTAAAGATTTTTAAAAAAGTATTTTGATATTCCCATGTGTTTATATAATGTACTCTTTTTGGAAACATAACAAATACTATCTATCAGTACCATCCCTTTAAAAAGATTTCTACAGAGCTCATTATCCCATATTCATAAATGTATATAAAGTACGTTGATCATGTGAAAGCTATTACAACTCCATTGACCTTCTGCCTCCACCACAAGCCGTGACCTTTATTTCATTCCCAACATTCATTTTTGTTGATCATATTTGGCCAGTATTATGGCTTGAACTCAGAGCCTGAGTAATTTCCCTTAGCTTCTTTGTGGACTGTACAGATACTTTCATTCTGACACACACCCACTTGTTAATGCTTTCTTAAGGACCGTGATAGGCAAGTACTGTTGAATGAGCTGTATCTCCAGCCCTTCGTTGCACTGAGTATTTTTTGATAGCATCTTGCTTTTGGTATATGCCCATGCCTGGGCTCTAGTCTTTCTAGTGATGCTTGCTGCCACAGCTGGAATGACAGGCATACGCCTCAATATCCAGCTTCTTCTATTTACACAGAATCTCAGTGCAATTTTTTAGCCTGGGCTGGCTTGGAATCACAATCCTCCTGATTTCAGCCCTCCTTTTCAGCATACACACAAAAATAGCTTGAATACCAAGCATGTAGCATCACACCCAGCTCTTCATTCAGAGGGTCTAATGAAAGTTGTGCCTAGGCTGCCTGAGAACTGTGATACCAATCTCAGCCATGTGAGCATGTTGCACTACAGTCAGGAGCTCATTTCTTTAATGTGCTGGATATGAACCCCGAATCTAAAACTGAGCCACAGACCAGGCAGTATTCATTGTTTTCCTCTTGTTTCTTAAGCTATTGCAGTACTACTTAGAAAATCATTACCTCTGTCTGTTGCTTCAAGTGTTTCTCTTATATATCTGGTAGTTTCATATTTCAAGCTCTTAAATTGAAGATTGTAATGGAATGCCATGGAACTATTTCCAGTCTTCTACAAGTGGAAATGCAGTTTTACAAACAAAATTTTTTACAGAAGCAATCTCGTATCCACTATATATAAATCGCAATGTTGTAGCAATCAGTTGACTGTAGCTCTGTGGGATTGTTCTGGATCATCTATTGTGTTAACTAGTTTCCATACACTTTTGCACCAGTGTCAATGGGACTTTGTTTCAGTGGTTTTGTAGTATACTTTGAAATCATGTTTGCCATGTTTCTAGCAGTGTGCATTTTCCTTGTGGTTTTAGTCTTTCATTGTGTGAATCCAAACAAATTTGAAGAGTTTTTTTTTGTCAAGGATGACATTGGAATTTTTTAAATTTTTATTATGAAAATACCGTACAGAGGGGTTACAATTACATGGGCAAGGTAATGAGTACATTTCTTTTCAAGAATTGTTGCCTCCTCCTTTGTTTCCCCTTCCCATCCCTTCCCGTTCCCCCTCTTTCCCCTGCCAAAGTTGTAAAGTTTGTTTTTCGACATAACGACTTACGACTTGTACATCTTATTGTTGCAGTGGGTCCACTTGTATCCATATTTAAATGGTTTGTTTTGCCCTGCCCCTCCACAAATTATACTAACATCAAATACAATGATGTCCCTCTCCAACATTGAAATTTTGAAGGAAAATTAATCTAAGATTTTTTTTTGTGAATTGGGCATTTCAATAATATCCGTGTTCATTCATAGAAATGGGAGGTGTTTCCTGTTCTATTGTCTTCTCTGATTCTTTCTTTGTGCTTCTCTGGTTTTCAAGATTGCTAGAGGACTTTGATGCCTTAGGATGAATTTCCCTATGGCATCTTTAGGGGCTGTGGCAGACAGGTGGGTACAGAGGTGTATTTCTTTATCAGTGAGTTTGGTTTGGTTTAAAGCCTTCTGATGGCATCTTTATGTCCTTGAAACTATGAGATATGATTTGCAAAGAGAGGATGTTTGCCTTGATATAGTGTATGTGAATTGATCCTCTAAGTACAATGCCCTCATAACTTTAGTTGACCACTCAGAAGCATAAACATTTTCTAGCCATTTCACCATTCACATGACCTGGCATAGTCTCATGCAATCCAGTTGCATCATCTCAAATGACTTTCATGCACACAGTTTCTAGACACAGACTTTAGACAAACTTTAACCAAGATAACTCCACCTCTAGGGACTCACTATCTGTGGTCTTGGATAAAATTACAGCACCTGTGGTGAAGAAGGTAAATCTACAAACATGTTTTCTAACTCATGTTTTTCTTCTTGATGCAAGGTTACAAATGTAGATCCCTTGGAAATAGTCTTACACATTACTTCTGAGGTCTCACAAGGGACTTTGACTAAAATGGAGCTATAGTGTAGATCTGTCAGTAAAAACACACATATGCATATGTACATAGATATAAGAATATACATAGCTGAAACTGTGAGCCTCACTTGCATCCACAATTTCTGCTTAGCAGATGCTTCAGGCATGTGCCCGTTCATTTTAATACTCTTCCTTCTCTATCTCCCCCTCCCTGTCAGGTCCTTGGCTGATACTAGTTGCTTTTCTACAATGAAGCATCGAGCACACATGGATGGAGATGTGATGATCACTGGGTTTTTCCCTCTCTACACTTTGGGAATAGATCACAGTCACAGTCATGCTTCCAGGCAAGAAGAGAACAAGATGTAAGTAATTTGATATTTTATTTCAATTACTGTTTTATTCTGAGAATGTTCTATGGGTGACAGAACTCTGGGTGTACACATCAATGTTCTCTGTCTCCTCTACACTGACCTCCATCCCTATTGCACCAGGCACAGCTCAGTTTCATTATTGTCTTACATTTTCTGTTGATTGATTTTCTGCCTGCTAACAGGAGAGGGCTCCATTTCCTTCCATGGATCTTCTCCTTTCAGATCTGTAAGTTCTTTGCTTTTTTCCAGCTTGCCTGTATCTCCTCCATTTCATGTGTCACTGTAGAAAATGAAGTGAGGTTATTTTAATCAACCTGAGTCACTGGCATGAGTTGTGTATTAAAAGGCTGCCCCTACATTTCCTTACCATGAGGCCAATAGAAACACCTATATTTTGAGAATGTTGATAAAATTGCTTATAATGGCTCATGCCTGTAATCCTAACTACACATGGGGCTATAATATCTGAGAATGGAGGTTTGAAGCCAGACCAGGAAGGAAAACTTGTGATAATTTTATCGCTAACTAGCCAGAAGCTAGAAATGAAGTAACCAGGTACTACCTCTGCCAAAAAGCACAATAACAGTGCCCAGACACTGATTTCATGCCTTAGAACTGGCACACACACACACACACACACACACACACACACACACACACACACACACAAGTTCATGTGTACTCACACACTCACATATTCTTAGTGTACACAAGCAGTTGCTATTCCAAACTATGCTTTGTGGTATTGTTACATGTCTGATATGCTCCATGACCCAGGTGTTACCAGGCAGCTCAGCATTATGAAATATTCCTTGTGGGAGAATTTTATGTTCCCAAGATGAATTCTTTATTTGTGCATATGCATATTCTTAAAGATTTTTGTCTGTAACTCAGAGTCTCACTAATAAGTGGTATACTAAAAGAAAGAGAGAAGAATAGAAAAATGACTGCACAGACCTTCAAGAAATTCTAGAAACCTATCTGATTCCTTTTTATATTTTTTTATTGTAAAAATAGTTTACAGAGGGTTTAGAGTTACATGAGTAAGGTAATGAGTACATATCTTATGGAGCAGTATTACCTCCTCCCTTGTTTTTCCCCTACCATCCCTTCCTTCCACACCTCCCCAAATCCTCCCCAGTCCCCCTGCCCAAGTTGTAAATTTTGTTTTCTACATAGTTTCTTGTACATCTCATTATTACAATGGGTCAACCTGTATCCTTGTTTTAGCATTTTGTTATTTCCCATCCCCTCCCCAAATTAGAAAAATGTATATATTGCAAAAAATATCATTATCTTTATCATCTGCACTGCTTTTTAAGTGTTGGCATGACAACTATAGCCAGAGGCAGCTGCCCACAATTGAGAGCAGAGATCCCAGGATAGGAATTACTCTCTTCTGTGCTATAGAGGATATGTGGTTTCGTTTTATATGTCACTGATATGTTTATAATTCTTACTTTCATGTTGGTCCTGGGATATTAGGTCCTGGGTGCTCTCCTTGAACATTTTTTAAAAAAAATTGTATGGGCAGTTATATGGGCAAAGTAATGAGTACATTTCCTATTGAGCATTGTTGCCTCCACACTTTTTGCTGAAGGCTAGTGTTCTAGGATTTGAGCCACAGCTCTACTTCTGGCAATTTTTGGTAGTTAAATGGAGATACGAGACTCACAGACATCCCTGCCCAGGTTGCCTTGAAAACATGATACTCAGGTCTCAGCCTTATGAGTAGTGAAGAATAAAGGCATGAAGCATTAATGTCTGGCTTAGCTTATTCTTTATATCCAACACTATTTACCCAGGTTCTGCTGAGTTTCATTGTTTTAATTTTCCAAAATACATTTAAGTACTTTTGTTAATGTACTCTCATAGACACATTGAGTAGTACTGTTTCAAGCCAATGGATGTTTCTTGACTAACCCCAGATACAAAGTAAAGTCTGGTTTGGGTTAGTAAAAGTTTATATATCCTGTTGGCTACAGGTAGAGATATTTATTGACTAAGGTTTTCCTGTAGACAAATAGAGCACTGCAGTTAGACATCAGTAGATGAGAGATTTGATTCATGTCTACGCTCACTGAGGTTCGCTGATTTTTCCCAATTTTGATGCAATATGGTGATTGTGCCAAGTATCTGGTCCAGGGTGTCGTTCCACACTGCACTCCACACACTTTGATTATATTCACTCACTTATGTGTAAGTATTTTCATATCATGTCACACATCATTTTTTCCTCCCATATCTCTAATTTCTTTTACTCATTTTCACTTATCTGAGGTAGCTAAGAATAAGCCATTAGTTATTGGCTTACTTTGGACTGTTACATGCATTTTTATCTCAAAGGTGATACTCTACCACTTGAGCTATACCTCCATTTCAAGCTTTCTGTTGGTTGGCTGGAGATAAAATATGCCATGGACTTTTTTGTGATAGCTTGCTTTGATTCAGGATCCTTAGCTGTCAGCTTCTTTCTTAGCTAGGATTGCAGCTATAAGCTACCAGTAGAGGTAGTTTTAACCTTGAAGAATCTCCAAACTTTAATTTTTATATGCCATTATCAAAACTTCAATTTTTTCTGGGTTAATGAATAGTTAATGGGTGTCCTGATTGCCCAAATGATTCAATACCATTCCTCTGTTGTTATTTTCTAAATATCAAGTGTCTGTTCCATGAGTGGATTTTTTTCTATTCTAATACATACTTTTTAGAATTGTTTTCCACTATGCTATTCTTCCTCTGTGAGATGTATAGCTACCAAGATTTTAACTATTCATTTGCCTATCCCACCATTTCTTTCATTGTACTGAAGCTTTTCAATTGGATACAAGCACAGTTACTTTACATTTCCAGTGTTTGGGGTGAAAGTTATGGTCTTGTAAGTGAGACAAAGGATTCTGCCATTTAATCAAACCCAGAGAAGAATTATTCATAATCTTTTATGATCTAATGACTTTTGTTATGTTACCTCTGTGTTTATATTTTTCCTCATTTTCACTATCATTTGCAAAGTTCAATTCTCTATTATGAACTAATCAATTTTTTGTCGGTCCTATGGCCTGAACTCTGGACCTGGGTTCTGTCCCTCAGCTCTTCAGCTCAAGCCTAGTGCCCCTACCACTTGAGCCACAGCACCACTTCTGACTTTTTCTGCTTATGTTGTGCTGAGGAATCAAACCCAGGGCCTCATGCATACTAGGCAAGGACTCTAACCACTGAGCAACCTTCCCAGTCCCGAACTAATCAATTTTGGGATTAAAAAATATACGGTCTACATTAAGTGTTTCACACATGAATGCTCAATTTCACAATGCCACCTCTTGTTACGTGTGTCATGTTCAGGCATGTATTATTTGACACTTTCTCCAAGAATCAGATATCTATTGATTACAATTACTTTTTGGTCATCTATTTCTTTGATCCATGTGTCTGTTTTTATCAGGATGTTTTTTTCTCTAATGGCTTTTTAGTATAAGTAAAAACCGGTGTAGGGATGTTTTTGAGTTGTTTTTATGTCTTAAAATAGCCCTGGCTAATGGAGAGTTTGCTCTTCATAAAATTCAGTTTTGCCTTTTTTTTATTTCTGTGAAGGAAGTAATAGGAATTTTCATTAATTTTTACTAGTCCCAGAATATATTATTGTCAAGGTGATGTACATACGGGTTTTAGTTACATAAATAAGGGAGTGCACACATTTTTTGTCAACCTTGTTGTCCCTTCCCTCAATTTTCTCCCATTTTTCCCTTTCCCCACCCCTCCCTAGCTGTACCAATCATTTCCAACATTGTCTCATGTACACTGCTGTTACATTTGTTCTCTCCCAACAATTATTATATAGACTGTACTGCATCTTCTGTACATGGTTTTGCACTAGTACAGGTATTTTCACCATACTGACTCTGGCATCCAGAATAATGGGAGATGTGCATTGATACGTGGAATTTTGTTGCTTTACTTCAGTTTTATCACCCTGTTGTTCTTGTAGAACCTCCTTTTGGCTTTATTGTTTCTATTGTGTTTTTAGTCTCTAATTTCTTTTTCTTCTACTTGATTATTTGATTCCTTCTACTCATTTTGGGTTTATTTTTCTAGTTCCTTGAGATGCAGCATATGTTCTTTAGTATAGCATCTCTACTCCTGATTTCAGCAAAGGTTGTTACAATTTCATTTCACTGCTCTTTTTCCATATGTATAGATTCTGGTATTGCTTTCATTTCTATTTGTTCCAAAGATTGGTAAACTTCTGGAAATTTGCCTTGTAAAACAAGTTATTTAATCATGTATTAATCACTTAATTAAATTTAATGCTGTCAGTTAAATTAAATGCTTTATTTTTGATTGAGAGATAATTCATTTCATTTTGATATTATAGGCATATTTTCAATGTTTTCCTTGTTAATTTCTAGCCTTACCACAGTGTATTTTGCAGGTGTGTTCATTGTACTTTCTATACTTTTAAAATCTGGTTGTTTTTTGTCCTATCCCACAATTTCTCTTGGAGAACACTCAATATGTTAATGAGAGATGGATTATTCAGACATTGAGTGAAATGTTCTATAGGTGTATGTGAGGCTCATCTCATCAAGGGTGAATTTTAATTCTGATACATCCTTGTTGACTTGGTCTCGAGGGTCTCTCCAGGAAATCTAGAGGAATTATTGTATTGAGCAGTATTTCAAAAGTCTCCCTACATAGAGTTAAGGGTTTTGATCTTGTGTGAATATACATTTACAATTGTTATGCCATCTTGTTGATCTGATTGCTTCATCACTGCATTACAAACACTGCATTTTTAATTGTTTTGATTAAGCTTTATATGATGTAATAGGTTATGGATACTGTTGCTTTTTTTCCCTTTGATTTGCTTGGATTGTCTTGTTCATGCCTTTTGTTCCTGTTCATGTATTTTTATTGCTATTGTAAAGATGATGTACAGAGAGGTTACAGTTACATGCGCAAGATGAAGTGAATATTTCTTTTCCAATAATGTC